TTTCTCAAAGTTTCTGCCATTTTCTTCTCCGCCTCAACTATATATACAGGCGGCACGCATACAGCACGTTGCTGCTGCTGCAGTCGACATGCTGGGCGCCAGCATCATGAGAGGGTAATACCGCGGTGAACTATCCGCCATCGAAGACGACGGGGAGTCTGAGGCCGACTGGAAACCAATTCGATGCACTCGCCCCTACGTCCGAAAGATGGTGGAGCATCCTGGGATGGCAGTGATCCCAGTGCCGGTACAGGTTATTTGTCGTTGTCGACGGCGGCGGCGAGTATTCTTTACCCAGTGGTGGGTGTAAGCGCCAGGGCCCGATGGCGTAGATGCTGATGCGCTAGTACTTTCCCACAGGTTTGATGCGCTGATCGCATGTTGGTGAAGTAGAGTCCAGTTGGAACGCACGCGAGTCCGAGCGCCGTGCTGGTCTGCGATGGGACTCGACACTGTCCGTTCGAATGTGGGCACACTATACTTCACAGTTCACGATGACCGTGCGGAGCACGGGTCCTGGCTGTCTCAGTACTTCCGCTGCGCGACACGCGCGTGTTTGCAGAAGGTCTACCACACCGGAAGCATGCAGATGTCCCAGTGAACACTGCGCCACATCGTCGTCGCGGTGCGGTCGTTTGGAATTGGCGACGTTGCGGGCGCCCTCGCATTGCGGCACCTCGTGGTGGATGCCGCCGCCTTGCCCAAGCCTTACCCAGCCGCGCCGAGCTCCCCGCATGCACGGTAGTCAACCTGCTCACCACGTTATAAGTACCTGCGGCTACCGGAGGCTCTCTGCGCCGCATGTACTTCGCTTCGAGGCCTCCGAAGGCTCTTTCACATACTTCCCCGCACGCCCCCGCTATCACAGATGCTTCCCGCCGCGCGCTCGCCATCAAAGGCCTGCCGCAACGGCGTGCTTGCCCTCGCAGACGTCGAGCTCACTACCCCCGCTTCCCTCCCTCTATGTAACCAACATGTATACATATTTCGACTTTCTACACAGGTGAATCTCGCTTCTGTCACTCAAGAAGTAGACATTCATGTATTCATCAGACAATTGAGTATTTTATTCGTTGTGAAAATGACTCTCCGTCAACATTATGCGAGGCAACTACATGTACAGAGGCATATGTATCTACTGACCGAACCGTTCCTGAGGCAGACTGGCGTGTTGACGGAATGGTGTGCCAGGCAGGACCCGTGCGAAGGCGGGCGGCTGTTGATAGCCGTATGCAGAGGATAGTCAAGAGGTTGAGAGGTCGAGAGGAAGGCGAGGTGTAGTACGGGCCATGCTGCATACCCTGCAAGAGATATCACAGGATGGCGTCCTCGCTGGAGTGGCATGTGCATCCTGTTCAGGCGCTGGGTAGGCGCGATCACCATACGCCCTGCCCTCCTGATGTGCATGAGAGCCCGCCGGCTCAATGATGCCGGTGACTGGCGGGTGGGTGAGCGGTGGCATGCGAAGGCCGTCGAGCTCGTGCTACTGCTGTACAGAGTATGTGGGCTAGGGTTGTTAGACAGGAAGTTGCATCCCCGGTGCGCCGCCGTTCATCTGAGGACCAACAAGTGTGCCGGGCGCAGTGGCGTGGGCGTGACGGCTACCATTCGAGAGAGCATAGGTGGGGAAGGGTGTGGCCGCCTCGGAGGGTATTGACTCCGGCGCCACAGCTGCCGGCGCGGCTGCCCGCGACACGGTTTTGGCGAAAGGAGCTGGGGAGGGCGCAGTAGAAGGGAGGACGAGGAGGGCGGAGAGCGGATGCGAGACTTTCAAGCCGGTGGTGGTTTGAAGCATCCTTCTCGCTCTTGCGCTTCGGCTGGCGAACAACCTCCTCACGCTCAATGCACGCTTCAGGATCGCTCCTTCGCCCAATAGATGCCCCTGTTCCACGGCCCCTTGTGTAGGAGGGTTCAGCATGGGCTCGCCATCGGGCGGCCAGCTGACAAGGGCGACGGGCTCGTTGTACTCCGCATACTGCATCTCGGTGATTTCGCCGTCTGCCATCTTATCGTGTAGACGTAGAATTCTGTCTACAGGAAACGTCAGTTTAACAGCGAAAGGAACGATGGCTCAAGAACGTACGAAGGCCTGACGAGACCTTGCTACGGCATCTTGCAATAACCTTTTCGTCCCTGTTCGGCGCTGTACGGCGCGTCTCAGTGAGTATCCCATGACTAAATAAGCATATCCGGGCAGGCTTTCTATGCCCCTCCAAACGCATGGCAAAACTTGTCGCCGAAGATATGCATGCTGTTTCATGCATCCATGACGAACAGGTCCATGTCCGGCGTCGAGTGCACGTTGGGCATGAATTGGCAGCCCTCGCTACCAGGAGCGACGACGAGGAGAATCTCGGTACGCGCGCATATGTGTACCCCTTTGAGCTGCGAACAAAGATCAGTCTCGCGCCGCTGCTTGAATCACATCAAAATCACCACACAATGATGCTCTACCTCTTTGATCGTGCGCGTCGCGTCTTGGCGTCTTTGATCGTGCGCGTCGCGTCTTGGCGTACCGTCTTCGTCGTCGCCGGCTGAGCTTCCCCCAGTCTCGCTTTTCTCTTACCCTCTGAGGCTAGCTTGTACACCTCGAGAACTTCCTCGTCGGTTTCGATCTCTATGTGCCACCGATCAACGAGCTCCGGCCACAGCCGACGATGTTTTATGAGAGCAGGATTGACGCGGCTCTCGGTAGACCACAGCTCTGGGGTGGGCTCTATCAGCAGAGCACGGATGAGGCGCGGTAGAGTACTCACGACTGATGACGATTGGCACTCACTCGGCAACATCCTCGTTAAAGCCGCTCGCCTCGCGGCTGCCTGCGTCTTCCCTTCGCGCGTGAAAGAACTCCACGAGAATCTCTCGGCCGTCCCTCGGTACTTCGTGAACGCCTAACCTATATGAAATGCGCCCGAGCTCACCTATTGAGCTCCAAGGCCATGTCCGGCGCCGTATTGTATATGCCTCGTCTTTCCTCGGCAATCCTCGCCATGAAGAGGGCGTTGGTCGCCTTCTTGGCCGTTGCCTTCTGCTTTTGCTCCTTTTCTGAGTCGGAAATGCTGGCCTTGGATAGCACCACAGGGCTGGTAGCAGCGGGCAAGGACGTATTCGAGCTAGCGGACATGGTGGAGTTTATTCGATAACCGATGCGCAGGCCGAAGTGCGACAGGAAGAGGTTGCCGCCTTCTTCGGGGTCACAGTCGCCAAACCTCGTGATGACGCACGGGATGCCGGAATAGTTAAGGCATTTGGTGGGGTCAAGGCATACCGTGCACGGGCCGAGGTTGCACGTCAACGCGGCGTACACGCCGTCGGGCATGGCGCGGTTCGCCTCGCCGCGGGCGGAGAGCTGCTTCATCACGTCGTTGGCAAAGTCATACATTCGGAAAGAGCACGCAAGCCCCTCTTCCAATAACGAGCAAGAAAGATGAAAGGGCGGACAGCTCAGGCTCAATGCTGCCCCTCGTGCAGAACGCCGTAGGTCTTTGTTGTTATGCAACGAGCGCTTGACGTCGGTCTTCTAGTCAACCTTCTCAAGGTTACGGGGGAACTGCGGGAATATAAGTGCTTGGCTGGCGAACGACAGAGACCGAGAGACCACATACCGACTGTCCTCCACCATAGGAAGAGCCAGCCCTGAATTGCCGCGGCTACCGTGGCGATCTTCGCCCTTCTAATCGCTCGCGCGCTCGGAGTGGATACGCTCAAACAACGCCGCAGGTCTCTCCATCGCACACGTCCAGACCGTCTTGCCATAGGGACCAGGTATCTCACGAGGACGCGCGATGAGCACGGCTACATTACGGCCTTTCGCATCAAGGACGGCCTTTGTAGCTCTGCAGATTCCGTCAGCCCCCGCGCGAGTAGAGAAGCTGCGAAGAACTGACTTTCCATCCCACTGAGTATGGCAAACTCGCTCGGCGTCGAGGTCTTGAGCGGCCCACGGCGTGACTTTGAGCAAGCCGTTGTACATTGCTCCACACCCCCACCGATCCACTCGAAAGGCGTGGGCAGCAACCGTGACAGCCGGCTCCTCGACGCCAACGTCAACCCCGTGCTTTAAAAGCTTGGGCTGCGGCGAAAGAGCTCGCTCGATGCAAATGCAGCTGGAGGCGTCGCCTTCTTCCCAAGCTTCGTGGCCACTCTACTCCTTTGCTTCTGGACGGCGGTCTTCTTGCGCCTTCTCAGCGACTCAGCGAGGGCGCACCGTCCGCGACATCGCCAGCATTGCCAGACCCTGTATGAGCACATAAGTAAGATTTGAAGCTTAATGCATAGTAGTACTCACCCCCTGCCCTGCGCTTAAGACCGGTGTCGAGGTCAGACGCGACTTCGGCGGCGGCTATCTCGCCAATGATATCGTACAACGGGACGATGAAGACGGCACCGCGCCGCGGCGGGGGGAAACTATGTAGAGGCCCAGACGAAAGAGGGGACTCGCGGTGAGAAAGGCAGTGGTCGGCTCCTTCTGTGACGGCTTCGTCCTCGTTAAGCTGAACCTCGACGGTAAACTTGAAAAGCCGAGGGTAGTTGATTGGCGCCTCGATAGCCTCTGGCTGGTATTCCAAGAGCTCTCGGCCAGACCGCGTTCTTCCTGCTGGCTCCTGATACTCGGTCAGCCTGAAAGAAGCGGCATGGGAGAGGCGCGAGGGTATGAAGATAGCTGCGCCGAGAAGCACGGTGACATTATCTACAAAGACCGCGGACATGCGCGCCACAGGCCACCCGACCTTTGATAAGCCAGTTGCTAGCTATAATAGTCCGTCAGTGCCCCGGTGAGGGCGCATTCAGACATACGAAGCCAGAGCGGGCTGCCGCGAGTGAGGCATGCGGCGCACAGGGCCGGCGGTGGAAGCAAATCAAGGAAAGTGGCAGGCATTGCGAAAAGAAAGTTCACATACCTGCATTACCCTGCTATGATCCGGTGCCATATCTGCCCTTCGGAGTGGCGAAGGAGATACACGATGTCGAAGCCGACGGGGGCGAGGACGAACGTTGAGCGCTAAGCGCTAAGCACCAGCTCTGGTTTCATCCGTTTTTCAACAAAGATCACGTGAGACCATTTCAACCACCCGTGTATTTGGTAAACGTACAACAGCCAGCTACTCCTTATCCTACATACATGGAAAGCCGGTCCCGCATCCCTACCGTATTGAATTGCGCACCACGGAGAATGAGCGCGCCTTCCTCGTGAGCACGCCCCAGCGCATCCTCCTCGCCAGCCTCCCACAAGTCCAAAATCTGCCCCCAACCTGCTACGAGTCGGCGTGCGAAGTGTGCAGGGCTCGCGCGGGTACCTTTTTCGCCACATACGGCACCTTCCTCAGCAGCCATGACCCGCGCAAGCTGCTCCAATATGTAGCGGCGTACGAACGAGTGGCGGGTATCGTTTGCTATAGGAGGTCGCCCAGGGTGCGGATCGAAGTAGCCGAGGTACGTGAGGAAGCCGTCGACCTCCGCTTTTTCGCGGAGTGTTTGCACGGCAGTGAGAGAAGCCTCGCGTTTGGCACTTCTCAGTGCGAAGGAGGAGCGCGTATCACTGTTGACTCACTTGTAGTTTAGCCCGAACATATATTGTAGCATACTTGCGTACCTGCATTGACCGAGTATATCGCGCTTTCGGCGAAGGAACTTCTGTTTTCCCTCTTTGCGTCCACCTCCTTTCAGTGCACGATGGCGACGCGAGCGTTCTGTGCTGGTGAGAGGTTATGTTGTTGAGGATGTAATGAGTATAATGGTCAATATACCTCTTGTTCGGCACAGCCACTTGCTCGCACTCTTCGCTGCCTGAGCCAAGCACCGGCCCCGGCACATCCTCTCCAGCACGCATCCAGTCTGGTGTTGGCGAGCGCAGACGAACGCGCATGTAGAGGTAGAGTGAGGAGTTTTGCGCGTGGGGTGAGCGAACGGGAGCCGCGCGACGCGTCAAGCGCAAGGTGGTAGAGGCGAATGCGAGACACCTTCCTTTTAAAGGGCGTTGCATCGTTAATCACTTGTAGCACTCGCACATCGAGAGCTACGCCCTCGATATTTTTTTTCTAAGTTCTTGATGTGTGCCCGATAGATTTTGTGTCAATCTACCAGTGCATGTATGGCCTTGCGCCTTCAAGACGGCTGACGGCTGACCGATGAACAAGTTCACGAAGTGATTCGTCGCGCAAACGAGCGCAAGACCGTCGTACCGACGTCTTTCAGTCCACCCACCCAATATATACCCCAAACGTTGTCAACTTTGGGCTATATGGTATTACTACGACTGCAATTTTTGAAAAGTGGCATATATGATACTTATTCACTGTATTTCACTACTTTCCGACAGCCCTCGCATCTCCTTCAGGCTCACACTTGCAGGCTGTTGAGGAACGCAACACTTGCATATGACGTATAGTAGACAGAGAATGCAGCTTCAGGCAGTCAGTATAAAGTATACAAGAGGGAAAGACGAGGCGGATGTACGCTGCCGGGATTGAGTTCATGATGGCCGTCCTACTGGCGATGAGCCTACTACAATGTCAACTTCAACATAGATGTATTGTGTGGCTGAATGAGCACTATATCAGCATACGTACACCGTTCTTGTGAGAATCACGTGCGGGGAAAGATGTCGCACGTCCAGAAGAAGTTGACGATGGAGCCGACGAAAGAAACCACCCATGCACAAGCGGCAGGCCGCTTCTAGTGCTCTTTTCACCTATCGGAGTAGATATATTAGCGCCCTGTCTGCCATGGTGCACTAAAAGATCTAGCAACTACGTACAAAACTCAAGCGAGGACGAGCGCGACAACAAAAGAGAGAAAATCTGTGCTGCCCTGAAAACCGCGAGAAAGGTCTAACAGGCAATACAGTACATATGCTATGACACCCCACCAAGGCGGCTCAGAGCCTGGGCTCAATGTTACTGAAAGTCAGCCGCAATTGGATTACGACTGAAGCAAAAATGTCGTGAAGTCACAGCTGAAGAGCAGACCAGCCAGGAGTTGTGATCATTGTTGGCGGTCAAAAACAAGCAGTCCTCCCGCCCGCCGCGTTTACTCGTAGGTTATTGATCTCCAAGCAATCAATGTGCCTAAAAGAGCTAACCGCACTCATTCCTAGGACCATCCCGTGAGATCCGACGGCGTAAGAACGCGTGTGGATATGAAAACATCGCTATAACATACAGAGTGATGCGTGATCCAGGATTCACATACATTTATTCAATGAACTCAGGATATGCCCGTCGAATCGAATAATACTCATCCATCCAACCAACCATCTCCCCGTCTGTATCCTCACAGTGAATGCGCCTTACAAGAGCGCGTCCGACATCGATGAGCGATCGCCCGGCAGAAAAGAGCTCTTGCACAAACACGCGACGTTCAGTGCGCCTCTCACGCTGCCAGCGCGTCAACCGAACCGAGACACTGTGCAGAGCGCGCTTGACTGCCTTGTTTCCCTTAGCGACAAGTTCCGCACGTAGCCGTGCGCGAGCTCCGGCTTCGTGCCGAGCAAGGTCACGTCTAATCTGGTCCAGCTCCCGCTCTACGTCGGTCCCAATCCCTCCAGCCAGCGCAGAACGGGCGCCCATAGGCTGGTCGTGTACAAAGTGCCAGGTGGCTGGAGCCTATATCATGATAGATTCAGCTCAAAGGCCCCCCAACGCACTGGACAACTCACAGGATAGTCGGCCTCGGGATTGGGATAACTTATAAACATGCCAATGGCGCGTAGGTGTGCTTCGGCGATATGATAATAAACAAAGTGGTCCGAATAGTTCAGCCAGCGGGTGTAATCGGATTGGTCGATCCTAGGACCGTGGTCATCGCTTAGAATCTCAAGGTGAGGAGCGATTGATAGTAGATAGGAGTGCTCATCAGCACCCAAATAGAGGGGCGTGAAGAAATAACCACAATCTGGGCAGACCCATAGGTAGTCGTGATCGGGAGTAGACGCAGCGTCTCGAGGCCGACGGGCAAGAATATCGGCCAGGACAGGATAGAAAGAAGCAACGTGGTCTTTCAGAGCATCGTTGAGAGGACGGGGTGCAGATGGGGTGCGCAGAAAACCGGGTAGGTGAACGTCGCGGGGCGCATCTTCGAGATGCTCGTTCTCGGCAACTGTGCGTGGTACTGGTCCAGATGCCGGCGATGGCGGGGGCTCGCTAGAAGTATCGTCCGTTAGGTACGAGTGAAAACTCGCTTTGGATGATACTTTTGCATCGATAAAACGATACATCTAGATGGGAATGTCAGATTGAAAGCAAGGTAAGCTCGACGTGAGGAACCACCACTGGCCGTCCAAGCTCGAAAATGCTCTTCACGTTCCGCGCGCATGTGTTCTCCTGACTCTGATACTTCGTCTAACAGAGGAAGACCTTGCACTAGGCGGTGCACAGTATATGGTGCATAATCAAGCCACGTAGAACTCGAGGACATTGGTGCAATGGTGGTGGCGGTTTAGGGAGAGAGCGCGCGCGCGTCTGTTCAATACGGTCGGACTCCACGATGACAATTTCAGCTCCAGCGCCATGACCAAAAGAGTACATCATGGGTTCATCACTCACTGATCGGACTACCGGAAATTGTAATAGCCGGTATATGCATTCGATGCTACATTGAGAATAAATCGGACTATGTTCCTTACACCCGACACCAGCGTCGGACTTGCGTCGGAATGGGGTGTAGCACAAGTCGGAACTGCCTTTCGCTCGCGTCGGAGCTGCGTCGGAGTTGAAGTCTCTGGACCCGTCCGTTCCCGCTTTTGTATTTAGCGCTAACTAGCAACGTCTTAGTGATTATCTATTCCTTGCTATTTAGCTGAACGTTCGCCTGTATAGTGCCCACCAGTGTCCGTCCAGCCATCCACCATGATGGCAGGTCGCTAAGGCGCTAAGAGCCTCCGCAGGCTCTCGATCCTCGCTCCGGAGTCTCCGCGCGCGCCCACACGCGTGTCCGCGGCGGGCAGAGGCATGCCCGGCCATCAATGGCGCCGCGCCGCCGCGTGTAAGTCGCGCCTCCCGTCTCGCGCGTCGTGCTCGCTAATCCCAACGACGACCTTCCTCCCCGCCCGTCCCTATATAGCCACCCCCATGAT